GGGACAAGGACAGTGCAGGGACACGGAGAATCCGTCTGTTGGTGTTGGAGGCCAACCACGATGAGGTCTCTACACTGAAATGGCAACCAGGTTCTTCTAATCAGCCATTGCTACCTGCCTCCGTCCCATCGCCCCCCTTTGACCTACCTGGTGGACGTAGCTGTGCAAGGCTCTGTCCTGCCAAGACCAGGAAGCAACCCACAAAGGGGACACTTGAATCTGTGTCTTACAGAAACAGTAAAGGAGTCCCTGCACGTGATTCCCATGGTTAAAAACACAGTCCCCCTCCCCTGCCTTATCTATGGTTTTGAGCATCTACTGGGGGTCTTGGAACGTGTCCCCTGAGCATAAAGGGGGTTTGCCGTACCGGCTGGACAGAAGGACACGCTGAGCATCGCCTTTGTGTCACCCTCTGCTATAGCAATCCCTTTGAACTCTTGGCTGTTTCTCTCTGACTAGTTAAGATTTTAGATCCGTTAGATATGCTTTTAGACATGATCTACTGATATCTTGCTTTGACAGATGAGGACGAGTTCACTAGTTCATACCCCATCTCCACCCTCCCCCAAACAGTTAAATTGTTCTTTTCTAGGGCAGCCCCAGTGGCCTAGGGTTTAGCACCGCCTTCGGCCCGAGGCCTAATCTTGGGAGACCCGGGTTGGAGTCGGGCTCCCTGCATGGAGCCTGCTTCTTCCTCTGCCTGTGTCTCTGCCTCTCTCTCTGTGTGTGTGTGTGTGTGTCTGTCATGAATAGGTAAGTAAAATCTTTAAAAAAAAAATTGTTCTTTTCTTTTCCTTTATTAGTTGTCTTTGTAATTTCAAGTAATATACTACCATATTTATTTCTTTTTACCTGTTTTATTTGGGGGGGGGAGTTGAGGTGGAGGAAATATTCATAGTACACTGACTATAATAAACAGTGAGGCAAAGACTCACATATAACTACCATTCCAGTTAAGGAAGGAGAATACTGTCAACACCTTTCAACCTCTTCTTTCCCAGTGAAGCCACTTACCCTGACTTTTGTGCTAATTGTTCGCTTCCTTTTTTTTTTTTAAAGATTTTATTTTTAAGTAATCTCTCCACCCAACATGGGGCTTGAACTTACAACCCTGAGATCAAGAGTTGACAGTCTACCGACTGAGCCAGCCAGGTGCCCCTGTTCTCTTGCCTTTCTTTAGAGCTCTTCTATAGGCACTCCTCAGTATTTAGATTTGCTGTAAATAGAATTGCACTATATGTATTACTCTGTGCCTTGCATCTTTCCTTCAACACTGGTGAGCTAATCTAAGTCGACAGGTGTAGCTGAGGTTTACCCATGTTCACTGCTATATACTCACTTTTCAAGTAGACCACGATTTATTCATCCAGTCAGCTGTTGATAGACATTTGGGCCGTTTGCAGCTTTCTACTATCACGAACGTCTTAATCCTTGTCTCCCAGAACATGTGTGCAAGGGTTTCCCCAGGGGATGGATACAGGAGTGCAATTGCTGCATTGCAGGGAGCATGCAAACTCAGTTTCACTTGATAAAGCCGCCTTTCCAATGTGGTTGCACCAGTGGACAGTCCCTACCCCCAGAGATGCTGACCTGATTGACCAGGGTCAGGTTGGGCACTTAAAGGTTCAAAGCTCTCCAGGTGATTCCATTATGAGGCTCCATGTCCAGCTTTATTTCCAGCCCATCAACTCTAGATAGTATTTTGACCTTTCAATCTGGAGGAGCAGTCCTAGCATCTTTTTCTGCTCTCCTTTCTCAAGATTTTTGTGTTATAATCGGAATAATCTGAAAGACATAATAAGGGCTTTTTCCCCAGGTGAAGTCCAAGTGTAGGGGTGGCTAAGAGGTTATCAAGGCATGGGCAGGAATTGGTTAAAATACTGGGACAAAGGTGAGCAGGTGAATTCTTCTTTCAGGGAGGGCTGGGGAACAACAGAAATTCAAGGGCTGAGAACTCTTCCCAGCAGCCAACCATCCTTCTCTCTTTGGCGGTGAGTAGCCTCTAGCGCCTGTCTGCCAGCTGTAGGCCAGAGAGGTCATTCAAACTGCTTAAATTCTGCAACATGGAGGGGAATTCTAAGCTCTTCTGAATTGCTCTGAGGGTCTTTGTGGTAATGTTTTCTTAGAGGGACTCCAACCTCAGTCTGGGTTTCTTAACCCTGGCTGAACAGTAGCAACATATGGGAACTTTGAATAAATACCCGGGCTTCAGACCAATTACATCAGAAAGTCTGAGGTGAGACCCAGGCACTAACAGGCTTCAGAAATGGCCCAGATGGTTTTTTTTTAAGACTTTATTTATTTATGAGAGACAGAGAGAGGGGGGCAGAGACATAGGCAGACTGCATACAGGGAGTCCGATGTGGGACTTGATCCCCTGGACTCCAGGATCACGCCCTGGGCCAAAGGCAGATGCTCAACAGCTGAGCCACCCAGGGATCCCAGCCCAGGTGATTCTTAAACACAGCTAGGGCAGAGAATCAGCAGCAGTAGATCAAACTTTAACTTATATCCAACAGTATCACCTGGGGGACCCGTTAAGAACACGAATTGCTGGGCTCCACTGTTTCTGATTCCGTGGGTCTCGGGTGGAACTGTGGATTTGCATTTCCAACAGGTTCCCAGGAATGCAAACATTGCTACTCTCCCTCACCATGCCTAGAGCACCATCTTGCTCCTGAGGTTTCCCTGCATACCTCCCTTATAGGGACCCAGAGCAGCCATTCCATCAGGTGGAGCAGACCTCCTCCCAGCTGTGTTATGGGGTCAGGCTGGTAGCTTAAAATCGCCTGTGGAAATTAGCAAATGCTACAAGTCAGGAATCTGCCATCCCCACTCAGTTGCTAAACATTCACATCCAGATCACATAATGGATCAGCAGGATATGGGGAAAACACCTACAGAGGTGTAGAGCATCCTTGGCTGTGAAGGATCCTTGTCATCAGTAGGGCCTAGACACATGCAGGGTATTCACAGTGGTTACCTATGGAGCTTTCATATGTATATGGAACAAAAAAAGTATATGCACTCAAAACAATTCTTTAAAATTCCCAGGCAACACAGGTTCTAAATCTTAGAAATATTTTTTTTCTGGTTTGAGTTATTAATATATTCATTAGTAGTTCACAAAACCAAATAAACACATTATAAATTTTGACAGTTATTAAACGTAGAAAGGAGATTCTGGGGGACACATTGGCTCCTGGTCTGGCACCTGGGGATTTTTTACACACTTGGCAATGCCAGGACAGGGAGAGGTGGGAACGGGGATCACTATAAACCCATCAACTGCAAGTCCATGCATGGAAACGGTGGATTTGGAGAGTGACTTTCTTTGAACAAACCATGACCAAGTACCCTTAGAAAGTCTTTCTGTAGCCCCAGCTTGAAGACTGCTGTGCTAGCCTGGGCTGCTGAAAGCTTTCAGGCCACTTCCAACAGGAAATAACTGTGTTGCACGTGATGGCGTCCACATCTCACTCCGCGCTTGGGCCTCGTGAGATCAAAACATCTGTCCTACATGATAACAAGCCCCAACACCCTTTCTGCTAGAACACTGCTCTCCTCGTGTAACCTGAGCCTGAGACCTTACTCAGAAGATGCTTTAGGCATTAATGTCCAGGATAAGCACTTGGACATTAGAAGCAAAAACTTCCTAAAAATGAGAGGGTCTTTCTTGGGGCACCTGGGTGGCTCAGTCGGTTAAGGGACCAACTCTTGATTTCGGCTAAGGTCATGATCTCAAGGTCCTGAGATCAAGCCCTACATTGGTCTCTGTGCTTAGCATGAAGTCTGCTTGAGATCCTCTATTCTCTCCCTCTTGGTCTCACCATCCTGGATTGTGTGTGTGCGTTCTTTCAAATAAGTAAACAAAATCTTAACAAAACAAAACAAAACAAAAAACACGAAAGGGTCTTTCTTTTTTTTTTTTTGAGGGTCTTTCTAAAAGGACCCCCCCCCACACACACACACCTGGTTTCCCCTATTTTTCCAGAGGGTGGGGGGTGGCTTTTACCTTTTGGAACAATTTCCCTTACAAGTTGTGCTATCCTGTGTTCTGTGAACTTTCCTGTTTGGCTGGTGCAGGAAATCCCCCAGATCACATTCTTTTCCAGAGCATGAAAGACCAGGAAAGGTTCTCTTCTGACCTTGTATTCACCCTCGTGTTATCCTGAGTTTTTAATTTTGGGTGGCGGGGAGAGCAAGGTGAGTGGTGACAGACTGGGCTGAGTCAAGAGCCTGGAATCTGTCATCATCTTCAGTAAAAACTTCCTTTCTTCAGTTTCCCTGCTCTGCAAAGCATACTTTTGACCTACTGCTGAACTAAATTAAAAAGGCTGTGATGGACTTTGAAGGCATTATGCTAAGTGAAATAAGTCAGGTAGAGAAAGACAAATACTGTATGATCTCATTTATGTGTGGAATCTAAAACCAAACCAAACCCAAACTCACAGGAAAAGAGATCTGACTGTTGTTACCAGGGACATAAACTTCTAGTTACATGATAAATCAGAACTAGGGATATAATGTACACACGATGACTACAGCTAACACTGCTGTGTGATATATAGGAAAGTTGTTAAGAGTAGATCCCAAACGTTCTCATCACAATAATTTTTTTTTCCTTTTCTTTTTACTGTATCTGTATGGGAAGACGGGTGTCGGCTGAACCTATTGTAGTAACCATTTCACCATATACGTAAATCAAACCATCCCGCCGTATGCCATAACTTATCCAGGGCTGTATGTCAATTATTTTTCAATAAAACTGGGGGGAATAAACGATGGCCAGGAACATGACGTGTTTTTGAAACTTTAGATTCTGTCCTTGGAGCACAATGGCCTTGTGTTCTTCCCCAGTAGATCCGTGGTACCAGGACCATAGTGGGTGCTCAGTGGGTTTTGGTGTCATGGATCCCCACACATCGAAGTTTGCTGCATTCAAAAAGTCTGTCTAGGTATGTAAAACTATCCTGACTTTCTCTTTCATTTCTTTGCAGTGAAATGCAAAATGGAGGATGAGGAGGAGGTTGTACCTAAGACTCCACCATCTTAACCACCGGTGGGACCTTTCCCAATTGGAGCTTCCATGACCCTACATGAGGAAAATGTACAAATTATGCTTCCTCTCTTGATTTTTTAAAGGATAGATTTGGTGCCTGTGAATATGGAATTTTTTCTACACGAGATAGGATTTGTGGCAAACGTGCTTTAGTGCATATCATTTATCACAGGAGAGCACTCATCTACTTCCTGCATTATCTCCAGATTTTATTCTTTTATCCAGTATTATTTCTTCAGTACTTAAGGAATATTCTTCTACACTAAGTGTCATTACAATGTACAGTGAGCTCTAGTTCCAAGAGATGGTGAAGTGCTAATTTAGGTACCAGTTTCCCATCTCTGGCTGCCTTTGGAAAGATCGATACTTAAATTAAAGTCCCAAACTTCTGCAGTGGGTTTTATCTGGTGAGTATTCTTTTCATAAAAAAGGCATATTGGCTACGACCATTTCCAAAGGAGATGGACTCTTAACTCTGATTTCTGATTGCAAATCCAACAAGTTGAGACACTTAAGCCCAGACAACAATAACAGACAAAGGTCTTTGGTTGTCAGGTCCCCAAAGTATTATGGAAAGCCCCCCATTTGATGGAAAAGCTAACTTATTACCCTCATTTGTTCTGCGGTTTGCTGTTAACCAGGGCTCTCCCGTTCAAAATGCCACAGACTTAGCCTCCAGGCAGATCCCAAAGCCAAGTAGTTACGCTGGGTTGTTTTGACAAGCTACCACACATCTTAAGTAAATAGTAAAGCTTTTATTTTTGTGTTAAGAACAGCATTTTGAAAATAAAACCTATCTGCCCATGCTTTACAACCTTTAAATTTGTAATATTTATATACAGTCATTTATGGTACACATTGATTGTCTTGAAATTTCTTTAACGATTTTTTTTAATAAGTATGCAACAGTCAGCCAGGGGAGAATAAAGGTACATTATAAAACACACATTAATACATTTAATAAATATATATTATCTATCAAAAACGAGCCTTAGCTCTTCATCAATTAATAAAAAGCACCTGCTGAGAACTCTTGTAAGCTGGTATAATCATTACATCATTGGATTATAAAAGCCACAACGCTCCCTTTCAGTTTGGGGTTTAACTCAGCATTGGCCAATCTAGAAGACCATCCCAAGTTTACACGTGTTCAGTGGGCCCCTGACAGACTCTGTGCTAAAAGCACGGGATCCCACTTTGTCAGTTCTCCGAGCTGGTTCCCTCACTCCCCATCCCCCCCATCCAGTAGAGAAATTCAGGATAGAATTTCTATTAAACTTTCTATTAAATTTCTATTAACTTTCTATTAAAAGGAGGGGACAGGAGTGGGTGGCTGTTATAGTCCCAAAGTGATTTTAATAACCGGACACAGAAAGACTTGTGCTTACAATTAGGTATTTTTATCACAGATGCTCTCCTTCCAGGTCATTTTCCCTCAACAAGTGTTGTTGACATAAACAAATCTTAAACAGAGGTGCCGTTTGATTTTGTATTTAAAGTTTGCTCCATGAGGGCAGCTGGCGGCCACAGTCTCTTGGCAAAGAGGTTCCTTTGTACCCTTCAGGTGGAGTCATTAGTAAATACCCATTCTCTGCTCTCTGCCCTCACTCCCCACCTTGGCCCCACTGGGAGGGCATCCAGCCCACTCTCAGCTTTAAAGCCAAAATAAGACAAAACCCAGAAGCGCAATAACGTATCAGAGATTTAAAAAGAGAGTGTGGGGGGAAGGAGGTCTCATTAAAGTGAGGTTTCCCACGGCTCAAAGCTGGTTCCATCTTTATGTTGGTGAAACGTTACTTTCCCCCTGTAGCCATGCCATTTACGCGGTGCTCACCTTATCAGCCCGGACCACCAAGAACTGAGAGAGAAAACGATCAGGTGAATTTGCTCCCTTCTGCAAGGGCGGGGGAGCTCTTGCAGACAGAATCACTGATGGGATCAGAGAGCTCCAAAGGACTCCAGAGAGCGGGGGTAAGCAACCATTTCCTGGCACGAGAATGTGTATTGCTGTCGTTTGTCATTGAACTGGACCGAGGTGTTTGGAGGTTTCTGTATTTTCAGAATACTGGGTCTGCATGCAACCACCCCCATCCCCACCCCAGGTCTTATCGTCTTTGCCTCCCTCCCATCCCCAGTACTCCAGGTTTCCAGTCCACCAACAGCACTCCTCAAGAGAGGATTGGAATCTGGTTCTCTAGAAGCAAGCACATGCTCTGGGCAGGGGCGGGGGCTGTTTCCCAAAGGTCAGGTAGGGGTGGCATTCTGGTGCCATGCTTTTTCTTCCTCATGCGTGGCAACACAAGGAAATGCGCTAGCTGGAAGGAAAACTCGAAGGAGGGCCACACAGGGATGGCCAAATTGGCCTCGTTGTACCCCACTGCTCTGCAAGGTTGCGGGCGAGGGGGGAAGGGGGTTTGTGGCGAGGACGGGACACAGCAGAGACTAGGGCCTTGAGAAAAATCAGGTTTATTAAAACAGCTCAGACATATTGGCTTATGAAGAGGTCAGTTCCCCCCCCCAACAAACACTAACCTTTTTCATTTTCTTTAAAGGTTAAAGGCTTATGGGTTGTTTTATAGAAAAAGCAATATAGTCATTAGAGTATATGCCAAAGAACTCACCCTCATTTATACATTTCATGCCGTCAGGTTCAAACTCTTTGCTTTGAATCACTGCTAGTGATTATGCTGGCCAAACAGTGCAGAGAATATGGGGGCTTTTAATGGCCGAGATGTTCGAAATGCCAAATAACAAAGGAATGACTTGCTTAGGACAGATGGAAACCATGACAGAAACAATGGGCTTTGAAGAGAACCATTTTCATGGAACTTACAGAAAACCAAGTCAAAACATGTCCCATGTACCCTCCAAAAGCAGCAAGAGCCCCTCGAGTGCTCCCTTCTCCCCCCAGAACTTGCACTCCGTCAATGTATAACATCCAAGAACTCACTGCATGCTAAGCAGCAGAGTGTCATCTCTCCCCTGGGATGCCGTGCCACATGACATCATCATGGAAAATCTGCTGTGGCACTGCCTTCTGGCCTGCCAAACCAGGGGCAGGGGCTGTAACCTGATGGCCCATCTGAGCTTTTGCAACGAACATGGGAGAAAACATGGGAAAGGGCTCAGGGGGAGCATTGGCAAGTGGAGAGAGCTCATCAAGCGAGAGAGACTGCTATCCCAAGCAGGAATATCGCTATGGCTCCACCAAGGAGGGAGGTGGGCGTGCTTCCCTGCCGCAGACCTGCAGCAGGAGGCCCATAGAGGGAACAGTGGTAGGTCACCACTTTCTAAATGTGATGGCCACTTCGACTCGCAGATAGCCTTTTCTTCGTTGGCACACGCCAGGCAGGGTCCCTCCACCACTACTGGCTGTAAAGCTCACCCCATGATTCGGTTGGGACTCACCTTGAAATCCCACCCACAACTCCTTAACTGCTCCTGACCCCCTTGAAATGTGCAAACCAAGAGGCAAGTTGGTGGCAAAGTCTCTATTAGCCCTCTCAATGAAACAGCATCCCCAAGAGGCCACCTGGGGTCCAGCACTTGCTGGGGGGGGCAGTGGTGTGGGTACCTCCATACTCAGCCAACACCAGCCTGGCCCACCGGTTGTGAATTTGGTTCTGTTCGACCCTCAGAGGATGAAACAGTCTTCCCAGCCACATTTTCAAGTGAGCCTAATACTATTTGCAATTAGCTTTGCTTTAGTTTGCAGGGATTGAGGTTGGTTTGGTATTATGTGTGCGTGCGTGCGTGTGTGTGTGTGTGTGTGTGTGTGTGTGTGGCAGAGGGACAGGAGGGCAGTCGGTGTTAGCTTTTCGGTTCAGCAGTGTTCACATTTACACGAAATCCCCTTGTGTAGGATTTCTAGATCTCCCGGCTGTGAGGCAGCCTTGTTCGGCTACTGTTACTGATTTCTCCCTCAAGAAAGACACAGCCAGGGAATAAAATCGGTAAGAGAGATTCTTATTCTCTGGAACTTAAAAGTCTTTCACCAGAGGTGTCTTCCAGTGTAACTTGGCGGAGCAGTTGGGATCTGGAAACAAGGATAACACACTAAAAACTTTGTGCTTTGCAAAGTCAACATCAGAAACCAATTCGTTAACAACGTGCCAAAGATAAGTTCCCTTGCTTTTTTCAAAACGGGCTGAATAATTCCCAAGAAAAGCAGCAACCACTGTGTGTCGCGCTGCTCAGTTCTTGGGAAGGCCATTTCCCTTCTTCTGTAATCGCACACCCCAAATGAATGTTTCCTCACTTGGACACCCACTTTGCCTTCTATGGCCAGGGTGCTTTTATACCTACTGGCCTTAAAGAGACCAGGAGGGCCTAAGAGTGATTGATGGGGCCCTTTTCTCACATTATTTATTATAACACACAGGCCAAATGCTTTCGAGTCAGGCTTTTCTTGGCACCCAACAATAAAACAGCCCAAGGGATGGCAGGGGGTTTTCAGAAAGCAAATCTGCGAGTCTATTTGTCTTTGAGGCTGTTCCAAACCAGTGCAAACCAATGCCTCGCATACCATTCAAAAGACCAGGAAAGAAACCCAAATTCCCTCCAGAGATCAAAAAGACCATCCCCAACTTACATTAAAAAGAAGAAAAGAAAAAGAAAAAAAAACTCAGGTTGAGTTATGGAATTGGCACATGATAGAAGAATGGAAGTCCAATTTACATGTGTAAACTGGCTTATGCGTTGTTTCTGAAAGAAGCATGTAGCTATGTTTGGAAATTAAATGTGGGAATGACAGTGTGTCTTTGGATTACTGGAGAAACAAAATGATGTAATTGCACGGAGGCAAAATGTAAACAATGACAATTCTGCTGAAGGTCTGTTTGGCATCAGATAGTAAAACCTGTTTTTGTGCTCACAGGAGAGAAATGATAATCACTCCCCTTCTTAGGAAATCTTTTAAAGAGTGGAGGTGGGGGAACCTGGTACCCAGCTGGGGCACAGAGCAGGGGTTGGGAGGCTGGGGGTGGGTATGCTAGGTTGGATGTCAGCAAAATCTGCCAGCGTTTCACAACTCTGGGCTTTTCCTACAAGTCGCCTCCCAGGGAGGGGGGTGGGTGGGCATTTTCTGCAAAACGAAAGCCAGAGAACTCACTGGGTACAAGAGCCCCAAGACATAGGGACTCTTTGCAACGAATCCACAGATGGTTAACTAAGTATAGGTGGATCTTCTGTGCGTGGAGAACAGGGGGTAGAGAAGGAAAAAAAATGGAAGCAGTACATGCATTCTAGCTGCAAGGGGGTGTCAACTACAACTGGTGTGTTTGCAACACCCAAAAGCAGCCTCCACAGAGCAGTCTGTCCCCCGTTGAAGCTGCCCCCCAACACTGACCACTCCTGGGCTTCCGGCCATAACATCACCTCTTGATACTTACAGTCCCTCCATTGAGCACAACGGCCATCTCAGTGGGCTGATAGACATTGCTTCTAAACGGAGCGCTCGGTCTGTTTCCCAAGCTGCCATTGCGAAATCCCGCCGTTCGGAGAGCTGAGGGAGGGAGGAGGCAGCAACACAACACCCCCAAAAAAACACAAAACACACACACACAACAAAAAAAAACAACCCACAATTTTGTTTTCTTCCCCTGAATCAACACCATGCCCCCCAGCACACACTCTGCACCCCCCTTCCCCGCACCCCTCCCCACCCCTCCCACCCTCCCCATTGTCACAAGCCAGATTCAAAACAAAAGTCACAAAGGGGCTTTGTTCTCTGGCTCCCTTGGGGCATGACCCATCTCAGTGGTGTTGGGAAGTTTGGAGAATCCAGGGCACAGGCTGCTGGGGTGGGGGGCAGGGTTGAGCCT